AACATTATACAATTCACAAAATGTACTAACAGTAGCTAATGCACGCAAACAGTAATATTGAAGGCAGCTTGCACCTTTGTTACAGTTAAATACACAAGCATCAAAACCGTACACGCATCATTTTTTATATTGCTGCTTCTAGAAACTTGTTTGCCTAATTCCTTCCACACAAGGAGAAAATACTCTCTTACTGCTGGGTAACACATCCTCCCAGGTACTATTTTTTTTTTTTTTTTTAAAGTTTACACCTGTGTGCACTCAGTAACGTTACTTTAGGTAACTTTAGCATTTCTGCTTTACATGGCCATAAATGACAATGTTGTACACTAGCATTTTTACACAAGCATTGCAACTCAGTCAGGGTTTGTTTTGGTTCATTTCTTTGCTGTCTCATCTCACAGGAGCACCACACAAAGTGATGCAGAACACAGTGTAGCTTCACGCTTCTGAGGTATAGACTGACCATCATCATTGCCTTTAAGATGCCCAGAGCAAAATCTCATAGCACTGTTGTCTTTACCTGCACTGCTGGCATTTATTGCCCACTGTTCAAAGATATCCCAGAAGAAAAATGGAGGAGCAGTTATAATCTCCCTAATTAGAGTTGATTGCAAAACAGCCTCACAACCTTTCCCCTAAGTTTACCAAGCTATCAGGGCAGCCAGGCATCATGATGTAAGTAGATGCTCCGTGCTGCTTTGAAGGTGCTGTAGTTAAATAGGAAACACAAAATGAACAAAACACCCAGCAGTGCAGAAAGGCTAATATACCATGTGGTTAATCCTCCTGAGTCAACAACAAGCTGCTTCCTTCGTCTCAAGACTCAGTTATCTGATGTAATTGGTTTTCATAACACAGAATGTGAAATAATGGAGGGGTTTGGCTCAGTACAAGAACTGATGTAGAAGCATGGTAAGATCCATAAGGATCTGGTAAAGATCAATAGAAAAATATTACCAGTACCCTTACTTATATATCAGTGGCTCCCTAAAGCAAGTCACAACATTGGCCTGTCACTGCTGTGAATCTAAGGAGACCTGTATAATCGTTATGATAAAACCTGCAGAGAAAACATTTTAAGTGATAAACTTCTGCCTCAATCTCATTTGTACTATAATATTTTAAACGTCTGCTTTCATTACTACAATGACAAAGCTCAATGAAAGTAGGGTTACACTTTGAACACACCTCTTAAAAGCAGGGTCTCCACAGGGGACTTGTTTCAAATCAAATTATCGTATTTTAATCAGGCAGCTTTACAGTCCAAACTTGCTTTAACACAGGCTTTAATCACCTGTTGCTTTGAGGCATTTCAGCCTTTTCTAATAATCTGTTCAAAATGCATTTTAATTCTTAGGATATAACACTTGATTTTGTCAAATAAATATACAGCCTGCTTAGCTATTGTCTGGAAAGTAACTTTTTTCCCCTCTTTTTTAAAAGCAACATTGGTCATCTTGAAGGGAGAGAAGAATCCCCCAGTAACACCAAAGCTGGACTATTTCGTCCCTAATTCTGTAGCCTTACCTGCCTTATCCAGTGGCCAGCTTTTTGTCAGACATACAGACAACACCAGGAGCTAACTGATTTAATTCATCAATGAATTGACATTTAGAACAGGAGATGAAAACTCAGAATCCACTTTCTAAACAATGAGGAGGGGCAGAATGAACCATGGAGGCAAACCTCTCACTTTCTGCTCCCCATCTGTTCTTGCTCTTTTTTATATATAAAAATTATATATTGAAATATATAGTGTGTATATATGCACACACATATATACACATACAGCGACAGAGTGCACACATTGCCCTCTATTGACCAGAGTCCAATACACAAGTGTCCTCCAACACACACACTGCTCATCTTACATGTTCTCCAATGAATGCTTGACAGGACCATACCAGTGCATGTATCTATTCCTGTTACTTGTGGTACAGTAAGAGGCATCTGCTTCAATTCAGCAATCACCAAGACTTTTTCAGAACCCAATTTTAAGGCCTGGGGTTTCTCTGCTTTCATTCCTCCTACCTGGTGATACACATAGCAGGACAGTGGGGGAAAAAAACCCCACAAACCAATCACATATGCCAGTGGCTTATGGGTTAGCCTATGTCTACCTACATACCAGCACCTAAAGCTCTTGCCATTTTATGCTACATTCGTCAGCATTCATTTTAATGAAATTAAAATCCCTGCTCTTTTCATGAGTACTGTCATTTCAACATGAATACGAACTAGAAATATCAAACAGGAGGAGATCAATAAAGGATGAGAAACACTAATTCTTAACATCTCCCCTCCTCCATCCCTACAGTAAACAAACTCTTTTTTTAAGTGTCCACTTCTATGGAAAAAACCACTTTAGACCAAAGTTTAGATACACACTTTAGATTGGAAAAAATACAGAATATTTTTTAATTTAGGAAGCAGTTCAATCAGTTCAACTGTAAGCTTCTTAGAGGATCTACATGTTATATTAAGAGTCTGTAGACCACCTTTCTGACAGTGACTGGCCATAATGTACTATTCATAAGTACCTACAGATGGACATGAAAGAGAAGTAGACTGGGGTTCTTGAAGTGGGGGGAGAAGGAAGATTTCTGCTACTGTTTCTGTACTCACCCAAGGCCCAGTATGACGCAGCTTCCAAAGGTGGAGCACTGCTGTAGAGAGCATGGATATACATGAGGTGAATCATCAGCTCAGCCAGGAACCACCAAAAGAAAATACGAATTATGCCCACAATTAAGACGCTGAGATTGGTCTTCAAACTGAAGGCTTCTTGTCTCCTCATCTAAAGAAATCCAAAAAGGTTATATGGCACACAACTGACTGTTTTACTCAAATACTCATCCTGAGAACTTCAAGTTTCATTACTATTACTAAGAGGACCATTTGACTACACCATTTAGAAAATCCTGACATACTCTTTTGAGGGAAACTGGTTTCTCCATTCTCAATCTCAGTAAGCAGTAGTAATCAGCAAGAGACCAAACATGAACGTACACAGCACCAAACTGTTGTAGAAAAGGCCAAGCGCTGTTAACCTGAACAGAATCCAGACATGAGACACTCTTCTGTCATTCCTGTAACTTGATCAGCCTCTAGAGACGATCAAAAAAGTTTAAAGAAACTACAGCTATGAAGGAGGTTTTCCAAGCAGCAGCCCTACCAAATGCAGAAACAATGACTGCTTGCTCTTAAAATACCTCCAACTTCTACCAGCTGCATGAGTTTGATTACTTGAGGACAGTACTTCATTTTTCTCCTGTAGCATTGCCAAGGTCAGCAAGACCTATGTGACATACTGAGCAAATGGCAGTTAAGTGCAAGTTAAATATCAGGTAAGACAAGGTTTGCAGTTGACAGGCTTCAAGATGCCCTAAACTTCTACGCTGCTAACTATAGTAAACACATTGGTATACTATTATTTTACCTTCTTTCTGCAGTAAAAGAGAATATGATCAAATAACAGAAACATAGGATTGCCTAAAAATTGACATGTTTTGTACATCTATCATTGTGTGCATGCAACATTTCCTTCTCCAGTCTCTAACTGGCCACCAAAAATGCACATACAAGATAAGCAACCAACCCATCTGCATGGACAAAACCCCCTCATAATTGCAAGCACACAGTACAGAACTATTAGTTCTGCTCACTTACAAATGAAGCAGCACACTCATTTTGAAGGTTCATTTGTACCAGCTAGATGAAAGCTTGGAGACTACCACTTAATCACAGCAATTTGCACAACAGGCCTTCAAACCCATGGCTAGAACTGCTATGCCCTGCTTCAACCCAGAAATTCAACAAGGCCTTTGATGAAGCGTCACAGTCTCTCATTTTTGCCTGGCAATGGATGCCAATTGCCAGCATTGGTATTACACTCTTTGGGCCACACAGCAGTTTCTCTGTCTCCATCTCCAGGACTTCTGCTTTCCAGTGTGCTCAGCAGGGGCCCTCATCTCACTCTGTCTCAGCTTCAGTTAAGGGGTTCTGCAGGTGGTCTTTTCTGATAGCAGCAATAAACACACTCTTTGTATTGTGCACTTTGAACCAGCTGCTGGGCACTGCTAACTTTGAAACCCTTCTCCAACCTCACCTATCAAGGCAATATCTTCTGCTCAGGTAAGAGCTCTGACAATGCACTTCAAACACCAACAAGAAACACATTAAGGTTGTTCAGTTTGTTCCCTCTTCTTTACGGCTTTAACCGAACAGGTCTGTGTATATTTAAATAAGAACTTACTGCAAATACAGGCATCCCATTCTCAATCTTACTTTCTCCCCTCACACCAAGAATACAGCTGGTCTTTGCACACGTCTTTGCTGAGCCATATCAGGTGAGCTCAGTTTCTCAGTTTCAATGCAAGACACCACACAATTTTTCCTACCAGCTATCCCCAAGCTACTCTCAACTTGGAGTCTCATATGTCTTCTGAAACATTCCTTGAGAAAAAAAAAATCATCTCCCTCTGCTAGGGGTACAGGAATATAGGTGGAATTTAACACATTTTAGAAGCTACAAAACAATAAACAGTAAAAAAATAAATTACCTCAGTTTCTATGCAAGTCTATGCAGACTTTTCCTACAACATCCAGCCCAGGATAACAACATTCAGCCTTGCATCTTCCAAAGCTACTGAAGACAAATGAGCATAGGACTTGTCACTCAGGGGTCCACCAGAATCTGTTTTCACTTTCATAAAGCCCAGTCTATTTGCTGTGGCTTCAACAGAAAATTTCCAAATATAAACAGAAGCAAGCAACGCCTAAGCTTCTACACATAAACTGAAACAGTTTAAGGTTTGAAACATCCACTCATCCACTTTAACCCAATGATGTTAGCTATAGACATCACAGGTGGCGATTTCACTTCTTACTCAAGTGTGCAAGAAAATAAGGAAAGCAATAGAGCATGGAAATCTGAGGTTTTCCCCTGTCATGTAGAAGCAGGCTTGAAAAGCAGCCTGTAAGGCACTAGAAAAAACATGCAGTAAGATAGGTAAGTCTTTCACATTCAAGGAGCTGCTCAGCTTGCTAAAGTCTGAAGAAAAGTGTTCCAAGTAAATCATCAGCTTTCACACCAACATGAGGGGAAACTGGGATCTTCAGGAATTCTCAATACAAACCAGCAGGTTCCTGTGACTCTGAAATATGTTTCAGAGTTAATAGCCAGCTGCTGCTGAAAATGTTACTTTATTCTGCCTGACGGAGGAAAGAAAAACAAAAATCCAATCCAGCAGCTACAAGCTAAAATTATGAACACTCTCCAAATGTAACGACATGTGTCATTGGCTCTCTGGTTCAAGGGATGAATTTCATGTCAGACAAAAAAACATCCTGTAAAGTAGAAGAACTTGGGGAGGAAGGTTTGTCTTAAAGTTAATATCCAGGACACTGTCAAATTCCCAATGCTATGCTCAAAATTGTCCAGTCTTCACATTCCAATAACATTATCTGATATTTTCAAAATTATGTGGAATATACCTTTAGACACCCAAATAATTCTTAATCTCCAAGGACTAAGTAAAAATTGAAATCCTTCGAATCACTAGTAAGGAGGAAAAATATTACAGCATCAATTATAGATGCTTTTACTGAAGTCAAAACATGCATGAATGAAAACTCCTTTTCTGTATGTTACCCCCTCCCCCCCCAAGTATCTCATTGAAGGAAAAACATTTATTTCAGAAGGAAACAAAGATCAGAGTCTGATAGAGAAGATTAATCATCCAGCCTTCAAAAACTATTTGGCTTTCTTTCCACCTTCATCTAACATTGGAGTCTAATCAACCTCCCTCCACCCAAGCACTAGATATCAAGACTTATTTTGACAATATATTTTGACTAAATATATTCTCAATGTTAGTTACCAGCCTTATGAGAGTTCAGTCTTATGCCATGGCTGGCATACAAGCATGAATACCCAAGACTGGTTTCTACCTACAGCCTCCCCTTTTGCATGCAGCATACTTCAGCACTTAAAGAGAAAAGGACAATAGATACACACTAACATGAGGAACACCTTCTGTTTGAAAGTCTCATCAGTATCAATTTTTGTCAAGTAGGTAACTAGAAAATAAATAGAAACTCAGGCTTACCTGTAAACTATCTTATGAAACACACCATTAAAAGAGCAGCTCTAGGAAAACTGGATGAAATTGTCTACCTAACATTTTCTCATGAGTGGTATTAAAATCTCCCAAGATGAGGAAAAAAAAAATAATCAACTTATCATGCTTTAATCTATTCCTCAAAGTACAGGTTCTGTGTCTAGATTTGGCAGATGAAAAGAGATCGCTGTCCACTTCAATAGCTCTTCACTCAACTCACCTGAGGCACAGATGCACTGAAAATCTGTAGCTGCATGATCTTAAACACACTTACCTGCTTACTGAATTCATCAAAGTTCACAAGGGGCCCATTGTGGAATGTGGGATAATAAAACACATATGCCAGCATCCACAGGAATGAGTGGGATGACTTCTGGGCAGGTCCATGCCAGCAGTACTCCAGGCTGAAGCTAGTGCAGAAGAGGCAGCGGACAGACACAGTGAAGAGCAGCAGGTAATACTCGTTTTCGGTGTCGTACCACTTCCTCTGCAAGACCAAACCAAGCCAGATCACGATGGTGCAATACTGTGTTTTCTATAAGGTGGGACAGCGATGCCCACCCAGATCCTAACTTCCAGGGTCACCAGCAGCAGGAAGCAACTAAAGCAAACAGCAGCTGGAACAAGCATCTGAAGTGAACAGCACTATTTAATGCATGAACAACAAGCACTGGCTGTTGATAGAGAAAGGGCCTCCAGAGCTACTGCAACCAACATAAAGAGACAACAGCTTGATTTCAGAAACATTTTACATTGTAAAGAACTATGACAGCAGGAGAGCTTTTCTTACAGGAATGCCATTATCTTGCTCAGGTTTGGTCCAGTAATACAATATCCAAACCAGCTGGCAACCCTACTGACAGCTGAGGGACTGCTAGGACTGAAGCCAAGGCTGCAGTTCAGATCTGAAGAGAATTAGTCAGTCCTGAGAAACCCTGAGGCTGGAAAGATGCTACTGAGCCTTTATCAAGTTTTTGACACTCCCTGTCACAGCCAGTTCCAACAACAAAAACACATCAAAAAACTTGGAAACATCAGCAAATGTAGTTTGGCTGATAACACTTGTATTGCAGTGGGCCCTTTCCTCCCCTCAGAGGCACAAACCTGTCTACACCACATGAAGAGACGCTACCCACTCATCTCCCCTCTGCCCTTCCCCTGAACATCAGGACAAGCCTTATAACACATGCCCAGTTTTTGCCCTTAGTCCAAGTAAATGCAACAAGGACATTTCCTCACAACTGAGGAACAGTTTATTTAAAATCTGTACTGCCCAGCTGTGCTGGTTTTGGCTGGGATAGAGTTCATTTTCTTTACAGCAGCTAGTATGGGGCTATGGTTTGGATTTGTGCTGAAAACAGTGTTGATTGATAACACAGGGATGTTTTCGTTACTGCTGAGCAATGCTGACACAGAGTCAGCTCTGCTCCTCACCCCACCCCACCAGCAAGTAGGCTGGGGGGGCACAAGAAGTTGGGAGGGGACACAGCCGGGACAGCTGACCCCAACTGACCAGAGGGATATTCCACACCATATGACGTCATGCTCAGCATATAAAGCTGGGGGAAGAAGAAGGAAGGGGGGACGCTTGGATTTGACCCCAACTGACCAGAGGGATATTCCACACCATATGACGTCATGCTCAGCATATAAAGCTGGGGGAAGAAGAAGGAAGGGGGACATATTCAGAGTGATGGCATTTGTCTTCCCAAGTAACTGTTATGCGTGATGGAGCCCTGCTTTCCTGGAGGTGGCTGAACACCTGCCTGCCCATAGGAAGGAGTGAATGAATTCCTTGGTTTGCTTTGCTTGCATGCGCGGCTTTTGCTTTACCTATTAAACTGTCTTGTCTCAACCCACCAGTTTCCTTTTACTTTTCTGATTCTCTCCCCCATCCCACCAGGGGGGGTGAGCAAGCAACTGTGTGGTGCTTGCAAAACTGAGCTTGCAGCAACCAGTTGTGAGCAAGCAACTTGTTTGGTACAAATCAAAGTGTTGGAGAAACAGTCTCCCTTTCCATGCAGAAGCCTGCAGTCACAATAAGGTATGGTCAGGCTTGACTAAGCAACTCCTGGATATGAACCCAAAACCCAGCACCTTAAATTGGTATGATTACAGCTCCAAAGAACAAGAAATGTGTTTAGTAGAGCACTAGTAAAGTTATTATCATACTCTAGCTCTACTGAACACCACTTATACATTAAGGCATATACTTTCATCTCAGTGCACTGGCCAGCATGATTAATACAACTTTTCTAACTGGAGAAGCTCCAGCATGAGTCACTGCAGCTCAACTAAGGTTTTTCAAGCTATCCTCTGCTTACACCAACTGAAGGGACAGTACTCTGTCAAAAAGATAGCTGCCGTAATGACAAACACCACCATAATTAATTTGATGCTTAGTTAGTCCTTCTCACATTACCTTGGCTTCTTCCACAGCTGGTATGCGTAAAGTGGACAGCAGGATAAGGGAGCACAACCATGTCAGGAGCGACAGCTGAAACTGAGCCACAGCAAATGAAATAGTTGCATGTAACAAAATGACAGCAAAGCCCTTGATTCCCAGTAACAACCAGCAGGCAGCCATTCCATAAACCATCAAGCACCACGGTTTATACTGTTAGAAAAAGAAAAATGAACAATTTTTAGTTTGATTATTTCTAAAACAAAAAAGTACTCAATATCTGTGTTGTCCTACACAGGGTCTACAGTAGAAACGAACACAGTCAACAAGGTTAAGAAGCCATAGGAAACAATACAGAGAAACCCAACTGTATCCATAAAGATGGAAGGGAAGGGGTTTCTGTAGCAGCATGTGTGAAACCCAGAGCCTCCCTGATCTGGGGGAGAACATAACTTCCTCCTTTCCTTCCCCAAACTAGCAGGTGTGTCACCACATGCCAGTCATTTCCCACAATCATGCAATCATTTAGCAATCATGCCAAAACCCAAGCAGTCATCACTTCAGTCTTGGAAGGGAATAACTACACCCATCTTTTGTGTACAGGTCAAATGACACTGGTTAATGGTCCACAACAAAGCACGGGCTTTCAAGGGTTGGAGGCTGAAGTCTCCAAACACAGACCTAAGGCAACCTACCTACTTGCTCTCACCTGTGCATAGTTACAGACACACACAATTCACCCCACAGAATGGGATTTCCCACACTCAGTAGCCTCAATGCCACATTTCCCATGCCCTGAGTAAACTGAAACCCACAGAAACTCCCTGCTGTGAAGAAAATTATACATACCTTCTCCACCAAGAGCCTGGACACTTGTGATACCAGCAGGTGACCAGCCAGAAGCCACAGTATACGTTCCCTTCCCCATTCTATCCAGTAGCTCCATTCAAAGTCCATGGGGTCCTGGGACATCAAGGGAGCCGGTCACTATATATATCTGGCCATAAAAGCATGTTCTTACAGGACAAGGAAACATCTCCATAACACACTAGCTCCATTACCCAACACCACAGAACTCAGCATCTGGGGAATGTCTTGTTTCAGCAATGCAGTCTGACCACTTACAGCAGTGAGCTCCGACAGCTCCATTTTGACTTCCAACGGTGTGAAATTCAGAAAAAGAACTTTAGATGGTGTTGTGACTCCTAGGCCCCATGCTAGCACTGAACCTGACCGAGCAGCGATCGCTGCCTTTCCCCACGAACACCATGGGAGTTTTCTAACCACAAAGCAGGCAGGGAGGCACCCATACACACACACACCTACTCCCCAGGACATGGAGAACAGGCTGGTGACTACACAGAGATGCAGCCTGGAACAAGGGTCCCACTTCTCAGGGCTTCCCAGTCCAACATGTCCTTGCTTTGGTTCCCCATCGGGAAGCTTCTCAGGAAACAACAAATTAGTCTGCTACTACTGTTCCTGACCATCTCTTCAAACCCAACAAATTCACACCCCTGCTTGCCCTGATCCTTTTAATTTTAGGATTTTTTTCCTTTAGAAAGAAAAAAAACAAAACAGTTTTGGACTATCCTTAACTCATGCATAGTTTAGCCAGGAACTTTTCTTTTTTCAACTTCTGTCAGCCTTTTAAGAAAGGCAACATAGAAGCAGAGCACTGCCTTCCCTGTGCATGCCCCTCACTGCTCCTGAGGGACTCAAGAGAGCAACTCTGCTCTGCCTTGGAAAACTAAGAGCTTGGGTGAAAAGGCACCTTGCTGGAAGAGATGTTTCACTCCCTGTTTCAACAAAGCCTAGGTGGGATCAGATGAAGTCAGGTCAGCTAGATGTTCCTGTGACAGTGTTTTTATCTAAATTAGGTAAGAGGGATCAGCTGATAGCCCCACATCCCATACAGAGCCCCACTAAAGTTCATCTCAACAATTGCTTTATGGATTTTTCAAAAGCACTGGTCAAGGGTCCCTTACCAGCAGCGACGGTGGGCCTAAACACCAAAATACTTCCACAGACATGCATTCCCGCTCTTGTGTAAATCATCCTCAATATCAGTTGCATTATTGCATGCATTAGCTGCACTTCCTCAAAAGTATTTGGGTTCAAAAGCAGGCAAGTTTGGGGTAGAGGTGTGCTAGTTTTCTTACTAGTTTTTTTTTTTTTTAAGACCAACCATGTTTCTTTAAGTCCTTATGCCTCAAAAATCTGTTCTCCTCTATGCTGGACTACAGGCCAATCAAGAGGGAAATGCATGTTCATTGATGTTAAGCATTATCCAAACCATCCAGTGACAGGAAAAAGGGGAAAAAGGCTGCAGGAAACATCAAGGGTGATTTTAGCTTTTAAGGCCAAACAGTAAAACAGTAAGTTATTAAGTGATGTAACGAAGGAGAAACACTTAGGCCAGGGATCGAGAAACAAAACTTTGGTTATGATTCTTAGATTTAGACACACTTGGCAAGCCCCTCTTCCTCATTAGAAACAATAAGACTAAAATTAACTACGAATATCCAAATCCACAAAGTTAGTACAAACCTCTGAAGCTAAATCAGAAGCTTGGGTGAGTAAAGGGCATGGAAACATGATGTTAGCATTATTGCCACAAAATAAAACGTGCTGGTTCCAGTCACCCATCCTACCTTTTTGAGGCCCTGGAAGAGAGTCCCTGGTTCCAGCCCAAACTTTCTGTCCATCACAGCTTCATACTCTGCAGAGAAGAACAAACCTTTGCTAAGAACACGGCAGCCAGAGAAGGGAGAGTTGGGGATGTGGTCTGTGCTGCTCAAGAGCAACACGTTCTCACGTTGCCTCCACCGATGGGGATACTCGGAGCCAGGGAAGGGCATGTCACTGCTCACCAGGTGAGCTGCCCGACCAGGCCACGGCTCTGCCCCGCAGCAAAGGCAAAGCCACTGAATTGCCCAGAACCTGTGCTTTGATTCCCCCTTACAGCTGGGGCAGTAGCAGACAGCAACCAACCTTTTACCACACAGGACCTGCACTAATCCTTATTTCCTCTCTTTCAGGGCCGCCTGGCTTCTCCCACCAGAGCAGAAGGGACACACAGACCTGACAGTGACCAGTACTGCCAGAGCAGGGCAAAGCCACTCAGAGAAGCTGCCTCCAGAGCACGTTCCCATGCAGCCTTTTGTCATCTGGGTGTCAGATGCCCAAATGACATTTGTCATACAGGGTGCACAGCCCTGTACCCATTTACCCAGCATTTTCCTCACCACCCTGCAAGTGCCTTTCTGGCACTCCTGTTCTTCCCTTAAGCACTTCCAAAAGCCAGCTAGGATCATTAGTGTAGAACACCTTGCTGATAAAGCCTAATAAGACACAATACACATTTCCCTAACGAGCCTCTCTAACTATTCTTTTATTAGATAATACCACCTTCATTTCCCTTAAAATACCGATGTGCTAGAACACAGCTTCTTTTCATCTACAAATTGTATTTAAATTGTTGAAAACCCCACCCCTCCTCTGCATTACAAAGCCCCACTGAACCAAAACCAAGCCACCATAGCCACTTACAAGAGGTTACACAAGGCACAGGCAGGTGTTCGGAAACAAACTGACCCCAAAGCTGCACAGACAACCCAGCCACTGCTCCAAGCCCACAACACAGCACAGGAGTCCCAGAGCTCCAGGCAGGGCAACACCCACCTGCCCTGGGGCCTCCCCAGCTTCAGTCCCTAGCAAGCACCACCAGGAGGCACAACTGCTTCTGAACCACCCACCTCCAAGGGGCTGCAGGTGACTAGCCAGGAAAAACCCTAATTCAGACACGACTTTCCTGAACTTCCCCCACCTGAGTAGCTGAGCTTCAGAGGTCTCCCTCATCTCTTCCTTGACAGTCGAGTGCCAGGACACCATTGCCAAGGGCCTTCCCAGCACTTAAGGTAGAAAAGCCTTGGGACAAAACTCTCTGCCCAGCTGGCATCCGGCTACTGCTTCCTCGCACAGGGCTGGTTTGCAGCCAGGAAGAGCACAGGCACTCCTTGCAGAGGAGCAAAGTAGAAACCAACCTAGAGAGGACAACTCAAGCTGAGCAGCCCCACCAGCCACGGGCAGGAAGCATTGCAGAAGCGAGCACACGCACGTCGCAGACTTACTTCGAGACACTTGGTGCGCTTCGTAGAAAGCATAGAGGTGAGAGCCCACGGCGAGGAGTCCGTAGAGACGCGTTTCCCAGGCCGGCAGCAGCATCGGCCTGGGAGCTGCTCCCCCGCAGACCCCGCCGGCCGCCTCCCTGAGGGGAAAAAGAAGACGGGAGAGGTTTCGCCGCGGAATTCGGACGGGCACCGAGCAGCGGGACACCCCG